GTGTATGACATGATTATATATATTGTTATCATGCAATAGATACATGCATATTGAAATGTCATGATTCAATGGTATGAATGCACGTTCATGAATTTATTGTTATATGTTTAATTATTGCCTCACTAAGTCAACGACTTAGCGTGTGATTGTTTCACACGTAGGTTTCGAGAAGAATAAAGAGTAATGCGGAGCAAGACAGGTCAATTCTCCTTACCAAATGTCAGATCAGAAAATGTATGTACTGTTTACAGAGTGTAGTTGGCATGTAGTCTAAAGATATAAATGGTATGAACTCTGATATCTGTTGTAAACGTTTTGAAATAATTTAAATGTTATCAAAGTTTTTAAATTACTCACTATTTTATACGAATAAATGTTTGAAAAGTCAATGTGACACTTCGGACTCGTATCCGGATCGGATACGGGTTGGAGTTGTTACATTGACAGTAACATGCATCTCATCACTCTATATCACAAATCCATCTATTTCTTCATAACTCTCTAATTACCTTATAACCATACCAAACTTGTATTTCGTCATCATTTGACCAAAACACAACTTTAAATCTTCTTCAATTGTGATTAAACATATACTTTAAGGAGTCAAACAATATTTTCACATCACCTTGCACACTTTTCGTGTTTCTATATCGAACTTATCATTTTACCCTTCCATACGAATCCTCACTTCATTCACTATATCACATTTACGTAATCAAAATATACAACTATATCCAATACAATCTCATCACAAAATCTTGTTAGTCAACGCTAACTCTTTCATTCTAAAGTACAAATCCTTATCATCTCCACACTCTTTCTTATAAACAATACTATCCCTTTGTTTCAAATTCATAACTCTGATTTCATTCATATAATGTTACTTATCATGTAGACAGTAACATCAATTCTTATCACTCAAAATCAAAAATCAATCAATTGATTTCTTTCCTCATTTTCTAGTTAATTCACCACAATCCAAACTTTTACTCATTCTTTCATCCTTGTCTGTATTACGATACACATAATCTCTTCATATAACCTTACATACTTTTCTTACTTCTAATCAAACTTATAATCTGCACTTCCTTATAACCCTTTATCATATTTAATCTTTCAGTACCAGACCATACTAATTGAGTCTGTCTGACTCTCATCAGATTTGATTCTCTGGCAGAGAATACAACTAATTCATACCTTATCTGAAGTTAAAAACCAGAATCTCTACCTCTCTTTGATGGTACTGAACTCTATGAAGCACCAATTCTCTTAATCATATGAGATTTTTATTCTCCAAACTTTTCATTCTGAGCTCTTTCTCTTTAAAGCTTTAACACAATTAACCATTTCTTGAAACGATAACAAATTCAAAACCAGTAACACTCTTTTAATTTAAGGCACAAGTCCTAAACAACAAATAACATGTATCATTTTCAGTCGGAATTAACTCAGCAGCAATTCTGCTTAGCTTATTAAACTTATAATCATACTCATACAAGGTGTAATTCCCTTGTTTCAAGCTCGTGTATTCCAGTTTCATCTGTCTTATAAACTGGTCATCAATGCACTTATTCTTGAACTCTTATATAATTCTAATCACATCATTTAATCTTTTAACGTTCTTATGGTGACAATTGTCAACTATACTCTAACTTACCAAAGTAGTAACAAAACTACTCAATTCAACATCTCCACTTTGAAGAAATGAAAACCTTCTATCATATCATTCAACCAAAGGTCTATAATAATAGAACCTTCCTCAAATCCACCCTTGAACTTGGGTGCTCGCAACTTTATCAACTAATTTGATACATTCATTATATGAGTTAAAGAAGAATAAATTGAAAACACATCAGAACATTCTTCAACATGAAGAATAATTTTTCAAATTTTATACAGGCACTTCCTGAGGTGTTCGCTCTTCTCCCTGCCTGGCCAGGGCATGTGAATGCTATTACCTTCAGGTTTATTACCTTTCACTTCTTTCGAAGCTCTTATTATCATATTTCTATTATCACATAACAATCTATTTTTATTAGCAAGACAGCATACTCCTTACACTATCATATCAAAATTTTTCACTTTAATTTGACATGTATACTTTTTAAAACACTTCTGACTTCGATTTAAGCCTATAATCGGCTAAACCGTAGCTCTGATACCATTAAATATAACACCCCAACCCGTATCCGACCCGGATACGAGTCCGAAGTGTCACATTGACTTTTCAAACATTTATTCGTATAAAATATTGAGTAATTTAAAAACTTTTATAACATTCAACTTATTCAAAACGTTTACAAAATTATTCAGAGTTTATACAATATATTCTTTTGAATACATATCAACTAGAACTTTATATATTAAAGTACATATTAATCACCTCTTTTCTGATCTGACATTGAGTAAGGAGAACTGACATGTCTTACTCCACATCGCTCTTTACTCCTCTCCATACCTACATGTAAATCACTTACACGCTAAATCGTTGACTTAGTGAGGCATATAAAACATATAATAAAACCACAAACCATTTCATATAACATAATGCATACTTATAAATATATCATTAATATACTTATCAGTACTCATATCATTATTACTAATTTCTTTCTATCATGTAAGCATATATTGAACCTTTCTATACTCACCATCGAGTATCCATGTCATTTCACAACAAAGCATATATATAGTATCATAACAAGTTATTTATTATCTTTAAAGCCCTTGCATTAGCCCATGTATACATTTGAGAACTTAAGGTATGTGAGTACATTGAGGTTGTGCACTAATGCTGTCACCACAGCTCGTATCAATTCCCTTATGGGGCACCGAACCTTAGTTCAGTATTCGTCCCGAAGGACCAGTCCATAGATCCCGAAGAACCTAGGTAAACAGTCCATATGTCCCGAAGAACATAGGTAAACAGTCCATATGTCCCGAAGAACATAGGTAAACAGTCCATATGTCCCGAAGAACATAGGTAAACCCTCGACCCTTGGCATGCCAACTATACCACTAGCTCTCTTATCACATAACATGGGCATTAACATTCATAACAGTTCAATTTACTTATTCATATCCTTTCTCTTATGAACATATATCTTTTCTTTTCAGTCACGTACCAAATGTACGTGTAATCATTGATCTTATAATCACATGTTCATTCTCTTCGGTCACATACCATATGTATATGTAAACATATATCTAATATCATATAACACGCATCACAAATGCATGTATTCACATAAATCATTTCTTATAGCTTTATTCATATCACATATTCATATAAGCTCATATCTTATTTCATATATACTTTCCATATAACTTATATATATCCTTCAATTGATCTAGAACGGGATCACGTTCTATATCTACATCATCATACATAGATCTATATTAGTATTATAACTAATATACTCTAATGGTTCACTCCTTAGACTAAGAAAAATGACAATTTCATCTTTCAATGAAAGTATGCATCGATGCACTACTGATGCATCAGTGCATAAAATGCATTCGATGTTGTATTATTACTGGTATGCATCGATGCACTACTTATGCATCGATGCATGAATTGCATTCGATGTTTTTATTTTAAAAGTGTGCATCGATGCACTACCAATGCATCAATACACCTTCAAACAATTTCTGGGTTTTAACCTTGATGCATCGATGCACTATGAATGTGCATCGATGCACTCTGCCCAGAACCTCTTTTTGAACCCGAAAATCATCAACTCTTCACTCAAATGCTTCATATTTCATCCCCTTTCATATTCCTAACTTTCATATACATATTTAAACTCATTTATAATCAATTATCTCGTCTTTAACCTTAATATCCTCTCCTCTTTATTAACTTCAAGAATCATACCAGATTTTTAACATGTTTTAAATCTAATTCTAACACTCCATATTCCTTAATTAGATTGATGAAAAGTCAAATTCCTTCTCAAAATTCACTTACTAACTCTTTTCCAGAATTTCCTTAAGAAACTCATTTTCTTTAATCTTTCATAACTTCTTTATCTTTTGATTTTAGGACAACTTAAGCTTTCCATAAGCTTAAGTATTACCTAATGATCAAAACCCACTCTTAAAATTAACAAATAATCAGCTAACAAGGAATCTTACCTTTGCAAGCTTGGCTCTTCTCTCTCTCGTACATGAAGAAGAAGAAGAAGAAGATGATGAAGAGAATATCTCTTCATCCTTATCCCCTCTAACATATATATCCTTATCATATCTATTTTTAATTCATTTATTAGTCAAATGACCATTTTGCCCTCTACTTCATTTGATAATTACTAACAACTTTTAGGATTTATTTCCAGATAAATCATTGAACTAATCCATTCTTCTACTTTAATCACCAAATTTCTGAAACTTTACCATTTAGTCACTAACCCATAGTTTGGGATGTTACAAGTATCCTATGTCTTCATATCTATGTCATTAGCATGCACATTTAGTGAATGCATGTAACATAATACAGTTATTAGTGTGTCACTGAACTCGTAAGCTCAGCATTCGGAATGTGTTTCCGTACGTAGGTTCTTAGGCGACCGCTCGTGGAGCGTTATCGTCACTAAATATTCCAACTCAACAGAGACTTCAGAGTATGTCTTAATTTGTATTAGAGGGCATGTACTATTGTAGATATTTTTGTATTCAGTATTAACTCTATTTTAATTTAAACTCAATAAAATAAACTCAATGTATTTATTTTGATTGATTTGGGAGCTCTCCGTATTTTATAAATTTGATTATTACGTTTTTATTTCATTTACCTTGGATGAATTTTATATAGTGCTTTATAGTTGATTAAAAAGAAAATTTTTGGATTAGCCATCTCGGTGGCCCCGTGTGACACTTTAATCCTTCGATTTTTGGGTCGAACTAGATTAGGGTGTTACAGCTTGTGCATAGAAACAAAACTATTGGACCCTGTTGCCTAGAATTCATTAAACCAAATGCTGAAACACAAACCACAAGAACATTCAGGATGCATATATTTAGGTCAAGTTTTGGCTGTGCCATTGCCATTCTGAAAATTATAAACAGGGATTAAACCAACAGGGTTTTCATTCCACCACAAATTAGTTTCAAATCACCTATTTTAAGCTTGATTACGTAAGCTAATCTACACCGGAAACTTCACACATTCAAACCATTCTACCTTATATATGCCCAAACTGGCCTTAAGTTCTTCAGAATCAACCCCAAAAGACCAGGACGAAAGCCGAGCCTGAGCCCAAGGCCCCAAAAACACTATCTCATCAGCAGATAGCTCAACTATCTTGAAGACCCATCGCATGTCTCAATTAACCTGACCTTTAGCTCTATCTCCCCGGACTCGACTGTGCGAAGCCTTAACCAAACACTCTGAAATACTTCACCGTTTATAGAACTAATAGAACTCTCTCTAACAAGACAATTATCAGTGTCAGGTACAACCTTCCTCAATGTCATCTCACCAAAAGAAACTCGGAGGGCATGGCTCAATCTAGCAGCAGAGACAAGTGGCTGAAGGTTTAGATAAGCATGTCCCATCTTGTCATCAGCCTTGAAACGGTCTTTGTCAAATACTTCCTGTGTAGAAAAGCAAATTTCGTCAATTCTTCATAAAATCTAGTGCTATCAATGAATTTATTAGCATCTTACAAAGTAGTTCATCACTGATATAAACTTTCCTTTTAGGAAAAATTAGACAAACAATAACGTTAAGGCAAAAATTCAATCTGTTTAACAGATGAAGCCCAAAAATGATTGCTATTTACTGCATGCTGGATGTTGTTGCCTTTTTCACATCGAAACTGAGATGTCAGTTGAGAGATATTAAAATATGATTTAGAGGAAAGCATCTGAATATCAACAAGTTATCACAAACATCAAATATCTTCAACTATTCAGAGGAATCTTCAGACAACAAATTTCTGATCAAATATCTCCAATTATTTAGCGCAATCACCAGGTAACAAATTTCTGAAACTCTGCATCTCCTGGTCTAATAACATCTCAACTCACCAACATTCAGTGAATACAGATAACACTCCAACAAAAGCAGGCAAAATGAATAACTTTAGGTGTAGGCAATCATAAACCAAAAGGCAAAAGGTAAACCAGAACCAAATGATTCAAGACAAAAGGAAAAGTAAATACATTGTATGCAAATATATTGATTCTAATCAAACCAGCTTGAATAGGATAACCATGGATCAGATATATTAGACACCCAGTAAAGGTCAGAACAAAGAAAAATGGTCCCTATACCAAAGAACAGAAGTGCCATATGATAGGGTATGATAATTGATAAGATAAGAAATCAAACATGTTGAACAGAATACTTTTAAAGTACAAATATAAAAAACTTACCAAATTTAGAACTCCAACAGGCTCAGTGAGGGAAAAAGTAAGCTCTTCATTCCATATTGGATTGAGGCAACTGTTGATAACCTTAGTTTTTGCCACCTAGAGTTGTGAGAATGTAAAAAGAGAAACTTGTGTAAGCAGTCAAAACGAAAGAAGAAAGAAAAGATAGACAGGGAATGAAAATGCTGCCAGCCAACAATTGCGAAGCCTTTGTTAAACAAACTGGCGGCACTAAAACCTCGGCTCATTAAGCTAGAAAAATTAGAGAATCCAACAATCTGTATGGCAGATAAAAAAATCATGAAAGAAAAGAGCAAATCACATGGTCTTCTTTTCTCTCTATGTTTTCTTTTAACACTGATTCAAAAAACACAGTGCAAGATAAAAGCAGTAGCTTTTGATGCAGGATAATGGGAGGACTACAGAATTACCAATGCAAAGTATGAGTTATGCAAATTGTTTGAATGGTAGAATATCATTAATTTTACAGGACACACAGAACATCAGCAAAACAGTTTACTGAAACAAGGGAAGTATAAGATATTGACAAGTATGGTAAAAAAAATGAAAATAGGCTAAACAAACCTGATCACCGAGCTTGACTACAACGTAAGGATCACTGCTCTTGAAATCCCGGATAACCAACCTTTTACCTTGCACAACCACCACTTTTAGCAGCCCCAAAAGCTCCCCCATTTGTTTTAAATCTATAACAGCACAAACTTCTGAAAAGAACCCAATTCCCAACCCAGAAAGAAACTAATTAGAAAAAATAATAAATTAAGCCGAAATAAGGATTCCATAATTTACAGGGAAAGCAAAGAGACAAGCATAGCAAAGGATGAAGAGAGGGAGAAATGAAAATAAAAAAAAAATCAAAGATGAGGCTGTAGCGAAACAGATCCAAACATAAAAGAGAGGTTACCTTTTACCTTTTGGTTATGTTTCAAGTGGTATCCAGAGGTCGATAAAGCTGATGCTCGATCAACTTAAATCGCTGTAAATAAAGAAGGAAAGGGGAATCTCTGTAGCTTTAGCAAGATTAGTAGCCTAACGAAAATCACCGATTAGATTAGGCAGTAAAAGGCGTAGAACAAAGCCTAGACCACCTTGGAATTGAAAAGAAAAAGGCAAGTGAAATTAAGTTAACCACCCACGTTCGTACAATTACAATTACCAATATGAAATGCTTTGGTTAGACCTATATATACATACATACATGGTCATGACCCTAAATGTGAAAAATGCTGGATTGGATCATTTACTTTTGATAAAAATTGTTTCTTTTATTACAGTTAATCAGATTGTATCCATAGTCCATATTATGTATAGTATTATTAGACATAAATTCAGAAGGTGATGGTCAGACTGGGTCTGGTCTTTGGTTTCACACACTCCCTTACTCGGTTTGTTGGATCCATCTGATCCTGTTCCTGTTTCTGTATGGTCTTCCCTTTTGACTCTGGCATTGCTCTTCTCCAGGTCGCTTCGCTTATACTGCACTGTTTCTCCACTTCGAGATTAATTAAATTAATAGCCACTAAACATTTCAGTAATTATGAAATAATTATTATAAAATATTATTAAATGATCTTTATACAATTACCGTAACGTTATTGATATTCATAACCTTATGCTCCTAGATGACTCGGTAAAATTTCCTTTAACTAAGAAGAAAAGGGGAAACTATTGCACACGTTCACGACCGTGCATTCACATTTGATTTGACGAAATTTTGATTCACACAATACATCAAACAGTGTGTTCACATTGCCAGCTGCTGGCTAAGCAGACGATGCTGAAACAATAATAAATTTGACAAGTCAAATAAACTAGTGAAACAATCCCCAAAATACAACCAATTATACAGAGGGCCTTATCAATTTGATGCAACTACACCTTGGAATCTTCTATCATCTACACCATCCATGCACTAAAGTTTCACCCCCACCACAGGGAATATGCCTACAGTTAATTTTACAGTACATCCTCTACAACGTTCTAGTCTAGGCCTAGGGCGACTACTCGGACAATTATTAATGTGTTTGCATAAAGTCGGATGGATATCGTCTTCTTCAATCTTGTTAGGTTCTTGCTCAGTACTTGAACGGTCACAGCACCGTCTTTGTTTCCCACTTCTACAGAGGAAGGCTTCTACTGAGGTTCAACTTCAAAACCCTATTGCAGTTTCTTGGAACCTGATTTTCCGACTTTGTGCTTCCACTTGCTCTGCATTTGAGAAAAAAAGAGAGGATCAAATAGAATCAAGTTATAAGACAAATAAGGAACTCCATTGAACACAATGCTAGATGAAGATTACAAGGGGCTCATTGTCAGATATCCCAGCATCCGCAACATCTGAAGTCAAGGAAGGTCCTTCCGATGATTTTTTTCAAGAATGGAGATTTACTCTCAACATGATCACTTCCTTGAGTCTCTTTGGGTTCCAATACAGTTAATTTAGTTACAGGTTCTCTACAGTCTTCGCTTAATTCATCTGGAGATTTCTCTTCCTCATCCAACTTTTGAGCATTTTCTGAAGTGTTCTCTATATGTCCAGAATGATTCCCATCAGCATCAGATTTAATTTCATCCAACTCCTCGGCATTATTAGGGCTTCCACCTGTATCTTCAGAACTTCTCCCTTTGGAAACTGAAGCCACTTCCTTCCCAGATTCTTCTCTATCCAATCGGTTTGCATCTACCAATCCGGTGTGTGCTCCTTCAGATTCATCAGGGAAAAGGAAATAAACATGCATTTAAAGATGTGAAATGAAGGGGGAAAGAGAAATAATGACCCAACAAACAATACCCAAGTTCATCATACGATTTTTGTTTGCAGCAGTGGACTTGGATTCCGACACACCAGTGTTCTCTTCATTGTCTTTCAACATGCTCTTTTGAGTATGCTTCAAGTTCTTCTTTGGTGTCCTTTTCCTCTTCGGTCTGCGAATAAAATATCAATCAAGTATACAAACCAGTTGAAGACAAATAGCATCTTATTGTATTGGCGTTTTACTCACGTCTCTACTGGACTCTTTTTCTGATGTGAACCACCTGAGCTCTTACTCTTCTGCCCAGGAGACCTGTCAATAGTACAACAATCAAGTTATGAAGAAACAAAAGAGTTAATTAAATATGAGAACAAGTCATTCTCAAAACAAATGTCATCTGAACGTAATGTTGCAATTAACCTAGATATGAGTTCACTCTCTATGTTAGTACCTTAATCTTTTAATTTCTTTTGTTGGGGGGTGGGGGGATACAAAACACAAAACTACACAGCAAAGTGAGATTCAGAAAGAATTATCTAAAAACCACATTAGTTAATAGCACATAAGCTTCCTTCAGAGGGCTCTTGGTGACTTTCGATGAATTTGCCTTCTGTCAAAAGTGCAAGCAAAACAGATATAGATTAAGCTCAAATGAAAACTAAAACAATTTTAGCCTGAGAGAGCATGCAAGATGTGAAGTCTTAACCTTTCCAGACTTGCGGCCTGTACCAACGAGCTCCCATCGCTCTCTTTCCAGACGAAGTACTTCCACATCTCCGTCATCATATAATATCTGAGGAGAAAATACATATGATTAATAGTCGGTTCACTGTGACACAAATGTTATGGAAAGTGATAATGCACCAGTTCAAATAGAATACTGCACATTTACAAACATCGTGGAGGCAGTTGAAAAAAAACCTTTACAGTTTAGAAAGAAATTAATACTCAGAGAAACTGTGAAGTTGACCGGATAAGCACAATGTTTCATATACAATGCTAAACATAAAATCAAAAAACCTTATTTGCTATTAGACCAGAACACTTTTTGAATAAACTTTGGCCCTCGTTAAAAAAAAGGAAAGATGATGAATTGGCAAGTCTGACAAGGAGAAAGTTGAAATAGTCATACAACACCCACAGAGAGCACACACTAATTTTCAGAATTTCAACTGTAACCAAATGAAGCCTCATTTGAATTCTCAAGACACATGAATGCAACATAAATAACAAAGAACCGCAAAAGTTTTAGAATCTATTTCACAGCATGATTCTCGGTGAACTTTTAGAATCTTGTGCAAAGAACAGCAAAAGTTTTGATTACTTACTGTTTATCCATAGGCCACCACACTTTTATTCTGTCGCCAATCAAATCTGCAATATCAATTCCATCTTCCTTGGTTGAACACTGAACAACAGATAAAAAGATCAATAATGAACAATGGGTCCAAAACCAATAGGATTTAAACGGAGAAAAGGAGGAAGACATTCTAAATGTGATGGGACAATGCTTATAGGGCAACAATGCCACAATACCAAGATGATTTAAACGGAGAAAAAAGAAGCCATTCTAAATGTGTTAGGACAATGCTTATGGGGGAACAATGCCACAATAGAACTACAAAATGCTAAAAGTAGATTATAGATTGTATGCGTTTGTGCTAAATCTCAACAACAGAGAGAGAAAAGCAAGAAAGGTGCTTGATGCATTTCCAAATATTGTAAAATAATAAATTCTAGCGAAAGCATTAAAAAATGCATGCAAGCAATACCAAGACATAAAGAAGAGGGAGGGAGGGACCTTCGTTAATCCTGCAATGCTCCTCTTCTGCTTCTTGCTAGATCCAGCAGCAGACTTGCTGGTCTCTGACTTCTGCATGGAGATATAAAACAGGCATCACAACAATGAACCGTACGGACATAAAATGTGTGCATAATTGGACCCTGACAGCAATTTAACTAAGTGAAAAAAAATATGCACACCTCCAGAATTTCATCATCAGCTTCATCTTCATTGTCCTCGTCACTATGACCCCAGTCAGAGCCTTTGCCTTTGCCTTTTGATGAGAAGCTTCTTTTCTTCCGAATGCTTGGCACCAAGTGTTCCGATTCATTATTCTCATTCCATCTTTTGCGTGCAGGCATTTTATCTTTTGAATTATGTAATTTATCAATGTCCATTTCCATAGACAGAAACGAGGAACCTTTCGCTTCATGCCAGTCATCTCCTGAATCCCTTGAAGAGACCTTAGAAACACTTCTAGAAATCTTGAAAGCACTGTGTGTAGATGACGACCTCTTGTGTTTAGGCACTAGGGCAGAAGCTGCAACATTGACTTTTCTCTTATTACCTTTCTGATTCTCCTGTTCCACTTTTTCTTTCTTGGTAGAAAAATGTTTATGACCATTGGTTGATTCAAAGTTACTGGACTTCTGTAGACTATCCAAATTTATTTCTCTCACCAATTTCAAAATATCAACATCATTTTCTGCATCTTTTGCTTCTACCAAGGGAGACTTGTTCTTTTTAGCCTTCCGAGCCTTGGCTTCTTTAGATTTTAATTGCTTTATCATCTTTCTGAGAGGCACTTCATTTCTTTCAGTTTCACTGTCTTTGAGAGCCTCTTCCTTGGAAATCTCTTTCTGAATCAAATGTATGATAAAAGGAAAGCAGGAAAAGTTAGTAAACAATGTAACATGAAATACCAAACTAGTCACCATCATACCAGTATGGAAGTAGTCTTTCGTTCTAGTACATACCACAACCAATGTATTTCGTTGTACCATTTAAAATGTCATGATTTTTTCAATTTTTTTTATATACATTTATAGTTCTTATAAAAAAAGAATACATTTATAGTTCATTTTCAAGTTCGGTTGTGTATTACAAACAGTTTAATAGTTTAATCGAATAAACATGTTTTATTAGGGGGGAAAAGATCATGAGAGAATATCATAAGGGTGCGTTTGGTTCACGGAATATAAGATTACCAGTGGGAATGTAAGATTACCAAGGAATAGCATTACTGGGAATGTTGTATTTTGTGTTTGGTTGGCTTAGCAGGAATGTAAGATTACCGTGTTTGGTTAAAGGAATAAAAGATTATTGGAATGTATATTTGACCAAATTGTCCTAATTATATATTTGTGTAATATTACAAGTTGGAAAATATTTATATATTTTCTTTAACAAAATTAAATTCATAATATTTATATATTTTTTACAAAATTAAAAAATAAAAAAAAGTTTAATGAAAGGGTAAAATTTTATTTAAACCCTTGAACTTTATATAAAATTTTAATTATAGATTTTTTTTTGTAAATCTAAAATAATTTAAGGATAAATTTGTAATTTAACATTCGTAAAATTTTTATTATTCGA